TCGGAGTAAGCAACTGTTTTGAAATACCCGATATCTTGGATTTGTTTAAAGGACTGCTGGGAACATAGTCAAGAGATAAAGGAAGCTAACCTAGAACTGGGGACCGGGAACAGGCCTGGTCAGGGAGAGTTACCATAAAACTTCAGAGTCAGAGCGGGAGTAAACAGAGAGCCAGGCGTCGGTTCGGGCCAGGCAGCCACGCAACACAGCTGTCTGTGGCATTCTGGGGAGGGGGGCAGTGGTGCTGGCCCTTGGGGCTCCCCTACTTGCCCATCCTGGCACCCGGAGCTGCCTGGGCTCCTCCTCTTGTGCCAGGCACGTCCAGGGCCCTGGCTACCAGGCTCCGGTCAGGAGCTCTGAGTCGCAGCCCGCCAGCTGGCGCTCCTCCTTCTGCAGGCTGTTCTCTGGGCTTCAGGTTTCTCATTGCCTCTCTCCCGCACTGACCTTGCAGCTTTTCCTTCCCTCCAGACAGGCGACTGCCAGTTGAGAAAAAAAAAAATGCTTGAAGGACCAAGGACAGGGATTGGAAAGCAGAAGAAAGTAGAATGGTCTTGTGGTCCATTTCTGTGTTTGGGGTGAATGCAGATGAAAGGTGGGGGAGGAAGGTGGGGGAGCCACTCACGTGGTCCCTTGCCCCTCCAGGTAAAGCTGCAGTGATGGAAATGTCGGGGGTCCTGTAGGCACTGGCGCAGACACTGTCATTGGGTCCTCATCGTGGTTTGGCCATGCGCTAGGGCCATCTTGGGGATGGATCTCCAGAGAGATTAGAGGAGGCAGAGGGAGAGGTAGAGGAGGGGGTCTGATGGCAGGTCCAGAGGTGATTTGGTCCTCTTGTATCACAGGGGGATGGGGGGAAGGTAAGCTGGCCTTTCTGTGGGGCCTTTTATAAGTTCAGTTATCTCTTTAAACCTCAGTTTCCCTATTTGTATTACCAGGTTACAGCCTCCTAAGGTTGTTGAAGAGTTAGCTAATCCTTTATCTGGGAGGATGCCAGGCATATATTATTAGGTGCTAAATCAGTAATCTTAGTTCCTTCTTTACTACTCCACCCCAGGCCGCCCCATTTCCACTGTGGCGCTGGCCACCACGACTTTCCTGCTCCCTTCTACCCTTCCCTCCAAGTCCGGCCTTGGTGGGAAACTGAACCTAGAGCTGTGGAGTAAGAATTCAGCACGGTGAGCCCTGCAAACGTGGCCAGAACAGAAAGCCAGAAAAACAAATACTGCGGTGCAGGTGTGACCTGACCCAGGCCACTCATACACGTCAGCTACTTCAAATGAGGCTGAAAACCGGCCAGGTGGGGGGCTCACCTCGGGGAGGTCGTAGCACGCAGCTGGTGCATGTGCGGCTCAGGAACCGGGGTGCCTGGTGTCAGCCCAGCTCCCCACTTTCTCACCAGGGAACTTCATCTACCTGAACCTCAGCTTTCCATCTGTAAAAGGGGGGACTATGATAGAACCCACCCATGTGGTTCTGTTCAGGATTCTTGTCTGGATTCAGTGAGGTCTAATGCCCATAACTACATAGTTTGGTGTTTGGCTCAGGCGAGCATTAAGTGTTTGCTGCTGTTATAGCTGTTTTATCATGACAGCTACAGCTTCATGGTGCTTAACAGGTGGTAGGCACTGACCTAAGCGTTTTATAAACAGCAACTTATTTTATCTTGATAACAACTCCGTGATGTAGGTACCACTGTTGCCCCCATTTCAAATGAGAAAACCGAGGTACAGCCAGGTTAAATAATTGTCCAGTTACTAAGGGGTTGAGCTGGGATTCAGACTCAGGCAGTTGGTTCCAGAGTCTATGTTTGTAATCGCTGTGCTGTGGCAATTATTAGTCGTTATTTTGTACTCACAGCCTAGTAGACATGGGGAAAAGGAGAGGCGAGAAGAGGTGGTCACATGCTCTCGCAGTCCAGCCGTCGTCTGAGGGCCTGCCACCGCCGTTCCTGGCTGGGGCTGCCCTGCTGGTCCTGGTGTCCTGTGCTGCTCCTGGTTGAGGCTGGCCTTGTCATAAGATGGACAGCTCTCTACTCCCGGCCCCACGGGCCTCCCAGGGGGCTTGTGCCACTTTCCCTCGCGTGCTCCTGGCAGCAAAACGGCCCATCTCTAGCAAGTGGCCTACGACTTACCCAGGCACAGTCCTTGTTTGTGAGGCATGCTCCCTACTCACTCACTGCCTGGCACGGAAGCCAAGCTGCCCAGGAGGGGGAAGCTATGGGCCTGTGATATTTTCTCAAGAAACATGTAGCTGTTTCTTGCCAGGCAGGAAATGTTTGATACCCAAGAAATGTGTTTGCTTCTGTATGTGTCTGATCCTTCCTTGTTCCTTGTGTCTTTCCAGGCCCCCCAGGCCCCCAGGCACTTGGAAGATGCTCACAGTGGCCCTGTGCATGGCCCTGCTGGGCTGCCTGCAGGCCCAGGAGCCCCAGGGACATGTCTCCATAATCCTGTTGGGAGCAACAGGGGACCTGGCTAAGAAGTACCTATGGCAGGGGCTGTTCCAGCTCTACCTGGATGAGGCGGGGAAGGGCCACAGTTTTAGCTTCCATGGGGCTGCCCTGACAGCCCCCGAGCAGGGCCGAGAGCTCATGGCCAAGGCCCTGGAATCCCTCTCCTGCCCCAAGGACATGGCACCCAGTCACTGTGCCGAACGCAAGGATCAGTTCCTGCGGCTGAGCCAGTACCGCCAACTGAAGACAACTGAGGACTACCAGGCTCTGGGCAAGGACATTGAGGCGCAGATCCAGCACGAAGGCCTCCGGGAGGCTGGCAGGATTTTCTACTTCTCTGTGCCACCCTTCGCCTATGCAGACATCGCCCGCAACATCAACAGCAGCTGTCGTCCCGGCCCTGGCGCCTGGCTGCGGGTGGTCCTTGAGAAACCCTTTGGCCATGACCACCTGTCAGCCCAGCAGCTGGCCACAGAGCTCAGGAGCTTTTTCCAGGAGGAGGAGATGTACCGGGTGGACCATTACCTGGGCAAGCAGGTGAGCATCAGCTTGGAGCCTGCCGGAGTTGGGGTGAGCCAGTGGACCCCATCAACAGGCCCACACCACTAATGGTAGAATCAGGCCTGAGGGCGTCATGAAACCTGCACTTCCCTGGTCTCGAAGGTGGGCAGCAGGTGAGGGGCAAAGGAAAAGCCGTGAGCGGTGGGCAGGACTGTTCGGTCCTTGTCCGTGCGTCTGGGCTCTCCTGTTCTTTGTGAATCCTTGGTCCTCTTTGTTTCCAAGCCAGGGTCTGGGCTCTGATTCCTAAGCATGGCCCTGCATCCTCTGTTAGAGGTGGTCCCGGGACTCTGGGCTCTGCACCTGGCTCCCAGTTAGGTGTGCCGTGGGAATTAGAATTAGCTTTCTTACCCTGCACCCATCTGCCGTTTTTCAAAATCTTTTTTTCCCCAAGTTCTGTTTTGGGCCACAGGCTGGTAACAAGATCTCAAAACCAAACAGGGAGCAGTGGGACCCTAAGGCTTTGCTTTCCAGCCAAGCCCAGGGGCAGGAGCATGGGGCTGACCTCACGGGGCACGCCAGTCAGCTGGCCGGTTCACTTGGATGTGCCTCGGAGCCCCTTCCGGCATCCAGGCCCAGAAACCCCAGCAGAGAGTATGCCAGCAGCTGTGTTCTTGGGTGCAGAGGCTGGCGGGCCCCGGGCCATGGGGACACAGACGGCCGTCTAGGACAGAGCCATGACTTTCATGCCACCCTGTTTGGAGCTGCCCGTAACAATGTTCCCAAATAGTGGTCTCAGACCCGTGCCGTCCTGGTGAGGCTTTCACTCGATTATGGCAAAATGAGGAAAAATACTGAATGTGTTCAGTTGAAAACTTTTCTTGCTACATTTTTGGTGTTAAAATAGCTTAATTTTATTAAACGTTAATAATAATAGAAGATAGGTAATTTAAACTATTTTCTTTCTTGGCAAAGTAAAAGCTGGTAACCCCGTGGAGGCCACTTAAAAGTTTTTGGGGTCTTTCCTGGGCTGTGAAACCCTAAAGTCCAGGAACTGTTGCTCAGACGGCACCTTCTCCTCCGAGTAGCGGATGGAGAGGTCTGCAGCCCTGCTGGGGTCCCGGCTCCTCCTTCACCGTGACAAGAACCTGCGGCAACCAGTCCTCTTCCTTGACAGGCCGTGGCGCAGATCCTGCCTTTCCGAGACCAGAACCGCAAGGCTTTGGACGGCCTCTGGAACCGGCACCACGTGGAGCGGGTGGAGATCGTGGTGAAGGAGAGTGTGGACGCGGCAGGTGCGTGAGGGGCCCAGCGCGCTGTGGGTCCCTGGCCTCTGCCCGCCTGCAGCGAGGCGTTGGGCCCCGCGGGGCCAGGGCCTGGGCTGGGCCTCGGCACCTTGTCCGTTGCGTCTCGGAGGGAAGTTTTCTGCTGGTGTGTGGGCTCCTCCAGGGCCTGCCGTGTGTCCAGGGCACCTGCTGGCAAAGCCCAGGTAGCCACTGTGCCTGTGGGGAACGGGTGGCCCCGTGTCATAAGCCTGGCACAGGTGCGGGAGCAGGTGGCAGTCGGTGCTGGAAGTTACCCTGGGTTTACATGAGCGTGACATGGTGGAGGCGGTCAGAGCCGCGTGAGGGCTCCTCTGACTCTTGTACTTGCAGGAGCCCCTGCCTGGGGGGCTCCGCTGTTCCTGCCTCCCCCCAGGCCCTCTCAGCCGTTAGCGCTCAGCTCCGGGCATGCCAGGAAGTCGGAGCCCGCGTTGGCACCTGCAATGCCTGCTCCCCTTTGCATCTCCCACGGCACCACGCGCCTCCCTGCACGGCCCCTGCTCCCGTTACCCTGGTCTTGTCCTTGTCCCATCTGTCTGTCCCACCAGGAAGGCATCTCCCTGGCTCCTGCCACACACCATGGAAGTATCGAATAAACACCAAATGAACAGCATTGTCCTGGGAGTCGGGGGCCCCAGCGTTAGGCCTGTGTGTGCTAAAAGGTGGCTTGGTGACCCCGGCACACACTTCCCTCGCCTGTGACACCAGCCAGTTGTGTACATGATGGCAGCTCAGGTCCCTTCAAGCTCTGGCATTCTGTGATGTTACAAATGTTTTGAGTGTTGACCGTATATGTGAAGCATCGGTCCTTACTCAGTTGTAATAAAAGCTGATTCTTATTGTGTATTTAGTCCCCCAACAGCCAGATGAGGTGGGCTCCTCTTGCAGATGAGGTTTGGTGACCTGGCCAAGGTCCCATGGCAGGAAGTGGGGGCAGCGGTCCGGCTCGAGCACCCAGGCTCGGCAGCACCAGTGCCCCCACCCCGTGACTGCCTTTGCAGCTGCAGTGGGGGCACTGGAGGCCGTGGCCCCCCAGCCCCAGCCCACAGTGTGCACCTGGCTGGAGGGGCGGGCCCAGCGCCCTCAGACCTGGGGGACTAGGAGGTCTGTCTCCCTTTCTCTCTTCACGTTGTTCTTTCTCTTTGCCATTTTCTTTTCCCCTTGGTCACTCTCTTCAGCTTCCCTTCCTCCTCTCTGGATGCGTATTTAGTGCTAGAAGCTCTCTGCGGGGCTGAGGTGCTGCTCGAGGTCTAAAACGCAGCCTCCGTCCCCTAATTCTGCATGGACTCTCTGAGTCTGAGGGAGGGACAGTCTAACCACACTCTGATGGTGGCACAGACTCCAAAGCGGGTGTGCGTGCAGGCAGTGGCGTGGGGAGCAGGAGGCCAGGCAGGACGTCCCGAGCCAGGCCTTGAAGGACATCGCTGTGCCGAGAAGGTGCCGGGTTTCTCCCCTCGGAACCCGCATGGGCAAAGAGGCCCTGTCCCCTACAGCGGGCCCTTGGGGAATCCTCCCCCAGCCCTTCAAATGTCCCCTCCTGGTCCTCAGCAAGGGCCCAGGCCATGGGTTTCTTGCTGTGCCTGTGTGTGTGTGATGTCTTGGCAGCCGTGTGTGCTTTGTCCTTGCTTCACCTGCAGAGAGAGGAGCTGCAGATCCGGTGCAGAGAGCCTGGAGCGGGAAGGGAGCGCAGCCCTGCCACCCGCTGCGGGCCAGCGGCGGAGCCTGCGCCTCTTCTGCCCCGTCCCTGGCGGGACTGGGAAACCAGGACTCCTCTCTTCCTCCCTTTCTGGCAGCTCCTTCCTGTGCCCACCCTGGGCTGCGGAAGAGCCATCATGTCCACAGTCGCTCATTGGCACAATGACCTCTTATTTCTTCCAATCCTCCCACCCTGTTTCCTTCTTGGTGTCTCCTGTCGTTTGTGGGTTCTCTGTAGGGCCCCTGTGGAGCCAGGGGCTGGGCAGGCTGCAGGCCTGATTATCCTAGCACAGTTACCTTTGGATTTGGGAGGAAAGAAAAGAGAAGATGTGGCAGAAAGACAGGCAGAGGCCTGGGCAGGTCTGTTTGCCAGCACAACCGCTGGGGCTGGCTGTCCCCAACGTCTGGCAGGGAAAGGCACCTGGGGCTCTGTCTTCAAGGCTGCTGTGGGGGCCAGAGCACAGGCCTAGCTTTGCCTGCAGTGTGGGGTTCTGGGGGGGGGAGGGTCCCACTGTTCCTAAGACCCAGAGCATCATGCCTTTTCACGCAGCTGGACTCTGTGCCTTCAGCCCAGAGGCAAAGGGAGCCCAGGAGTGGGACAGGCAGCAGGGCATCCACCAGACCGAGTGGATTGCAGCTGGTGAGGTGTGGCCAGAGTGGCCAGTTCAGCCACTGTCCTTGCCAGAGTGGTCACCAGGACTGCAGCTGTCCTGGGGCTCGGGTTTCCCTGGTCGGCCTGTTTACCTGCCAGTTGCATACGCAGGCCCAGAATAGTCGGTGACAAGGAATGAATGACTGACTACCTGCTGCTGTGCCCATTCCCCACAGCAGTGGGCCTCTGGACAAGGGGGTGCTTGGCAAGAGAATGTGTGTGCTCTCTCTCTCTTCTGTGCACCTGTATGCCAGAGGACAAGTTTTGCCTGCATCCCAAGAAGGTGGCCTGGTCAGCCCTGGTGGCCCTCAGAGCACCAACAAAGGGACAGACCAAGGGCAAGGAAAGCTGGGGGCCAGTCCTCACACTAGACATCCGACATGTGTAATCTTTAGTGACTGCCAGTTATTGTGGACTGGTTTCCTAAAAAACGATCCTGTTTATAATATATTGGCTCCTAAGTATGTTTTCCTAGGTGAGAAAAGTTGAGGTTAAAACCCCATAGTGCATGAAAAGAATAGAAAAAGCACAACCAGGTAACGCCCGATGGAGAAGAAAGGCGCGTAACCTGGGCCCCGCACCCCTGTAAAATCCAGAGCTGGTTCAGGGTCAAGGCTGGCAAAGCAGCGGGGACCCACTGCTCTGCCCCTGGTCCACACGGCTCAGTCTGATATCGAGGGAACAACCGCTGGAAAAGTGCTGTTTGCCCTTTGGCTGCAAAGTAAACTCACAGCGAAAATATTTTTAATGCTCATAAATGCTCTAAGATTAGATAGTGGGCTATAACTGTTGTGAATATACTAGAAGCCACTTAATTCATACTGCAGAAAGGGGAGCATTTATGGTGGTTGAATTGTATCTCAATTTTAAAAAAACAAAGTACATTTAAAATAAAGCAAAAACTAGAAACAACCAAACTGCTAGTAAGAATTCATACCACATAGTTAATGGTATGAATTTAAATACCATATATGAGAGGTGCATGTGTGGTGGTGTGTGTGGTGAGAGAGAGAAACATTGGGTGAAGAACGGTCCATAAAAGAGCACCACAGCAGTACAGGTCTGTACATAACATGCCAGTTTGTGTCACGTGGAAAGCAGAGACACTGTCAGGACACTGCTGCTACCTTCCTTCAACTTGGAGGAGAACAAATTTCCATTTGTAAGTATTCGTGTACATTATCTGATTTAATCTTTGAAAACCAACCCCCAAAGAGAGAGGGAGCAGGGGTTATCAGCATTATACAGAGGTGTGCTGAAAGGTCACAGCCTTCGGAACCGGGACAGAAACCCCCACCCGGCCATTGCCTCCACAATTGTGGGAGATCCAGGTTTCCCAGCAAAAACCAGATATTTAAACAAAAAAAAAAAGTGAAAATGAAACAACTAAAAGCCAGCTGCAATGCCTACAAACACCTTCTGGGATTACTAAAAATAAAAAGAGGTGAGGGCCAAGGGAGCACGGTGGTGCTGGCCTGGCTGCTGCTCTCCGGACAGGAGGCCGGGCAGCTGCCCTGGGCTCACCTTGGCAGACACGCTGCAGATGGGGCGGGAAGGGGAGCGGCCTGCTGAGCCGAGCTCCCGCCCTTCTGGCAGGCCAGCTGGAAGCGCAGGAGAGCTGGTGTGTGCCTGGGAGGACCCTGGCTGCCCGCTTCCCTCGGTGAGAGGCACTGAAGCGGTCACTCCAACACAAGAGGTGAGCGTGCCACAGCTCCTCTTCGCCAGTGTCAGAGACAGGGACCCTCCAGCAGGGGCATCTCAGGAATCCCTCTTTGCCCTGATTTAAAAAAAAAGAAAGAAAGAAAAAGGCCTTTTCCCAGAGGGGAAACTAGGGCAGCAGAGAGACTGCCCTGGGTACACCGTGGCCGACTGCTGAGGGCCTGGCGGAGAGGGACTCGGTGCCGCGCAGTGGTTAGAGCTGGTTCTGAGGGGCAGAGACCTTGGCTCAAATCCAGCAAC